CCTCTTCTTTGTCTTTTGTCTCCTTTGCTCTGTGGGTTTTCCTTGCCTGTTTTTTTCTGTGTGGGGGTCCACCTCCTTCCTGGGTCTCTGCCTCCCCCATTCCTTGCCCTTCCCCAACACTCTGGTGTGTGTCCAATGTCTGTGTGTCTTTCCTTTCCTCTGTTTGTCTGTGTCCCCCTTAATCTCTTTCTGGCCATTCCCTCCTGTTTTCCTCCATCTCTCTCCCTGCCTCTCCCTGGCCCACCCCCTGCATCTCTTCCCTCCTATCCCCTGCTCCTCCCCATCTCTCCCCTCCCTCCCTGACCCCGCCTGTCTCCGTCTCTCCCCTCCCCGGTTCCCCTTTGGCACCCCGCCCTCCATCTCCTCTCCCCGGCTTCCACCTGTGTCCATCTCTCCCCTCCTCTCTCCGGCTCCCCCACCCCCATGTTTTCCGACCTCTCCCTGGCTCCCCCCCATCTCTCCTTTCCTTTCGCTGGGTCCCCCTGTGCCCATCTCTCCCCTCCTCTCTCTTCCTCTCTCCGGCTCCCCCACTCCATGTTTTCCCACCTCTCTCTGGCTTCCCCCCCATCTCTCCTTTCCTCTCCGTGGCTCCCCCTGTGCCCATTTCTCCCCTCCTATCCCCATCCCCCCCGTACCCCGACCCTGTCTGTCTCCACCTCTCCCCCCCACATCTCCCCACCACCCCACTCTCTTGGACTCTCCTCCCACCAGTGGCGCTTGAGGCTACAAGTCTAAGGTAAGCTGAGCCTGGGCAGCCAAGGGTATTCTTGGGGGCTGAGGGGAGGGCGCATTATGGGGAAGGCTGACCGTCATGACTCCTGTGTGACCTCCCACCTCATTTTCAGTATTGTCAGCTCAAGAAAAAGTTAGAAGATGAGTTCCCTGGCCGCCTGGACATCGTGAGTCTTGGGCGTGGGGAGGCAGAGCCAAGCCCAGGTCACCTTGTCCATCCCTCAGGCCAGGATGGCACTGGGGGTGGTTTGGATCAGCCTTGCCCTCCACCTGTGTTCTCCATTCCCTGGGAAGGGGAGGGGGTCCCCAAGAGGGTATCTCAGCCCCTCCCAACATCTCTCCCTCCCCCAGAGCGGCGAGGGGACCCCCCAGGCAACCGGGTTCTTTGAAGTGACAGTAGCAGGGAAGTTGGTCCACTCTAAGAAGGTATGTTTGTTTGTCCATCCCTGTCTCTATTTTGGGCTCGCGTGGGGTGGGAATGAAGGTTGGGGTCCTAGCCCCGGCTCACCCCTTCCCTCTTCCTCCCATCCCCAGAAAGGGGATGGCTACGTGGACACGGAGAGCAAGTTTCTGAAGCTGGTAGCCGCCATCAAAGCCGCCTTGGCTCAGGGGTAATGTGCCCCGAAGGCAGAGGTAAGGTGGTCCCACTGAGATGGGGGTGGGAGGGGGTGCCATCCTTTGGATCTTCCCCTGCAATGTCTGCCAACTTTTGGCCCGGGGTGGAGAGCCTGGTTGATGAGGATGTGCCACTTGTGTCCACAGAGCAGGAGGGATAGAAGTTAGACCTGGGGTAGCACAGGATGAGACCTGGATTGTGATGTGATCAGAGGGCCAGTTCGGGAATGGAAGGTGCAGAAGACACCCCGCCGTGTGGATGGAATCTAGAGCTCTGGGTCTTTGTCCCATCTCCAGGAAACAGTTCCC